ATACATATATACAGACATATATACATATATGTATATATTTATACATATATGTATAAATACATATATACAGACATATATACATATACATTTATGTATATATTTATACATATATGTATAAATACATATATATATGCTAAATATGGAGTTGTACTTTTGTAATACTTTTCTTGACATTTGTCCACATTAATAATTCCAAGTCTCAAAGAAAAACCTGTTTTTTTTTAGTTTTTCTGTTTCAGCAATATACAGAAAATAAAGTATTTTTGTCGCATACATGAACGTTTATCAACACTGATTAATCGTGATTAATCGTGATAAATCCACAGCTGCCCTATGATTAATCAAACGAAAAATTCGACAGCCTTAAAATCACTGCCTCAGTCCAATGTCTCCGATCCAAAAATGGAAATCTCACACACGCGCACGCAGACACTTGTGATATAAAAAAAATCGTGGGGGGAACTTGGTTTCGTGGACAATAAATAAACACTTCTCTGATAATCTCACAGGAATCAAAATATCCCGTCCACGTCATGTCAAGACATGAGAACATTCCACAGAGTTCCAAACTTCCATAATAAAGTCTTTAATGAGAAGGAGAAGAAAGTCTGCTCCACACAGACACACACTCACATCAGAAACTATTTCATTAGTTACTAATGTGAATAGTACAACAGTACAAGGAGGAGGAAGAGGAGGAGGAAGAGGAGGAGGAGGAGGCTCTGTGGTAGAGTTAAAGGAGAGTCCAAATGGTTCTGAGTAAATAGTCTGGGTGATAATCCCGGTGCAGATGCTCAGACAGCACAGTGTGCATAAAAGCAAGACAGGAAGAGACATCCAATCTCCCCAGACATTAAACTGGCGACAGAAAACAACCAGTGCTCTGCTTCGCTTTGCAATGACCAGTGTTTGGTTTCGGGAAAGACCCGACCACTCTGCTGATTCTGGATGCCGACACACGGACGAGTCAGTATCCAGGCAAAGATTCATACAAGGAAGCATCCAGTTTTGGAGATGGTCGTTTATGGCGCTGCACCGTTTTGGAGATGGTCGTTTATGGCGCTGAACCGGGAAGTTCAGGGACTCACTCACCGCGAATAAACCGGTGGAGATGTCACTTTGTGAACTTTGTCGTTCGCACGTGTTCGACGTTTGACCGTTCGGGGGAGAGAAAGAAACCCGGTGCTGCTGTTGTTTCTGACGTCTGAGAATGAGAGTGCTCGTGTCTTTGTTGGTCTGCGTGTGTGCGTGTGCATAAGGGAGGAGGCTGCAGACAGACAGGCTCTAGGGGATTAGAGAACAGGACAGGGCACCATAACTCATTGAGCTGATCACTGGCTACAGGCAGGCAGACAGGCTGGGTTAAACAGCAGGCTGATAGGAATCTGCCACCGGCAACATCACAAAGAGCATTTATCTGCGAGGGAAACCCAGCCCACTTCACACACTCAAACAAACACACACAAACACACAAACTTCACTTTCAGGTCACGGCGCTCGTGTCTGCGGGTCAAAACTTTCTTTTCAGAGACGTCAGTGACGTTAGGGGAAAAAGAAAGGGGGGGGGGACGACAGACTGGTTTGATTGCATTACAACGACCGACTAGAACCTTTCAGCTCCACGGCTGAGCTTCAGTAACAATGAATCCACGGTGATGATATGAGTGACATAAAAGGGCGACAGGTATTTTTCTCACACTCATTTAAATCAGGCCATATGTCATGTAATAATCTCTGTATTTGATCTGCTCATATCAGTTTAACACAAAGGCTGCAACATGTAACATGAGGGTCAAAGGTCATGTTGAAGTAAAACAATCCTAATCAAATTAAAATGAGGCCTAGGATCAGGAACAAACTTCCAGATGTCGGCTTCACATGAGTTCATGTTTTTTTTTTGTTGTTGTTGTTGGCTCCAAAAAAGTATGTGCAGATTTATTTTCTGTTGTTATGTAGTACTGATACTACAGTAGCTAGTAGCTTAGCATGAATGGCTAATGTATATAACCAATAATAAGTCAAGTGCTTCTCTTCTGTCACAAAGGAACGACGACTGAGGAGTGGAACTGTGGTCCTGTCACTATAATATGTGTCAAATTACAGTTTTATTGGAATTTGATTTTTTATTCTATTTCTATTTTCATAAAACATATTTTGTTGGCTTAATCCATCCATCCATCCATCCATCCATTTTCATCCACTTATCCGTTACCGGGTCACGGGGGCAGCAGTTACCACCCAAATCACACTGCACCGTACCAACCCCCCCTAAACCTTCCTGCAGGTGGTGAGTCCACTGGAAGGTACCAACCGCCCTAACTGGGATTTGAACTTGCCCAGGAGGTGAACCCTGGGGTTCCACACCAATAACAGAGACATTGCCTCTGGGCCAAAGCGCCACACAATAGCTTAATGTTAATTATTTCTATACGTGAAAGATGAAACATGCAGTTTGACTTGACACCTGGTATTTCTGTTCCCAGAAGTAAAAGCTCTGTAAATGTTTTTAGCCTTCATCTTTTTTTTTTTACCATATTTCACCTAAAAGAAAGACCAAGCTCACACCCCAATTTAAATCAGTCAGTATGAAAATACCCTAATGTGGCTCGTCCTCCATCACTGTTGCAGAGATCAGGTTGTATGGACCAGATGTCAAAAGGTCAAGCTGTATATTTCCTAATAATGGAGCACTTATTTTTGAAAGTCAGTTATTATTTCCTACCACTTCACTGCTAGACACAACACAATGAGTAGAATGTTCAGTAGTGTCTTCTGGTGTGTGTTTGTGTGTTTGTTCGTACGAGTGTTTGTTTTTTCTCTTACTTGCCACCCCAGACGCCAGACCGTAAAGGAGGCCGCTTTCAGCTTTGGGTTCAAAGATGTGTGTGGCTGGAGGAGGACACTTCTCCTGTCTGATGAAGTTATAGAGCAGAGTCTTCACCAGTCGACTGGTTAAAGACAAACTGAGGGAAGGAAAGAAGAGAGCAGAGAGAAAGGAGGTTAAGAAGACAATCCTCAACCTACTTCACTGGACAACATGAACGGGATCCGACCACAGGGGCAGAGGTTTACTGGCCTCGGAACTGGAGCATAAAATAATTACGATATAATAATTTGAATTTTCCTTCAACATTAAAACAGAGTTACCCAAATGAAACCCAATGAAGAACAATTACACATTTGGTTTGGAGCAGATTTTCTTCAGATGAGTGGTCGTTTATCTGCTCACATTTGCCTCTTGTGCTGTGACTGACTTAGGAGTCAATATAATCTAAAAATATATATTTAAAAAGTTCTCGTTTCATCAGTCGGGCGCATGGCATTAAAACAATTTTCATACAGGAACTAATAGGCTAATGGATTGGACGAATATGTCGTCACACGGCGCTGTACACGGAAGACGACTTTGTTTACATTCACAGTTTATTCACCAAACATTGGATTGCGCTACATTCACTTTCTTTCGTTTGTGTTGTTTTTTGGGAACTGTTTGTCCTTCATTATGGCTGCTAGGCATAAGTCTGAGTCATCTGATGTTTTAATGTCCGAGATCATTGTTTCCCAAAGACTGGGTCGCGACCCTCAGGTGGGTCGCAAGAGATTTTTTGGGGTTGCTGTGTTAGCATAGTGCCATGTCTAGTAAAAACATCATCTAAGTGTTTTTTTTCCAGTGCCATGTCTAGTAAAAACATCATCTTTAAGTGTTTTTTTTCCCTTTGGTTTCACTCCACATTAGCAGCTCACAGATGTGTACGGGTGGGTGAATCTAAAAGCACAGAGGAACCAGAGTGAACCCAGCGAAAAACAAGCTCGACTAACAGTGTGATGGTTGGTCTGGGGAGCGTCAACAATAATGGGGTGTCTGTGGTAAAAACTCATCAACAGACGATGAATGACCCAGTTATTTAGCACAAGGGAGGGACTTGGAAAAACAGTTTCAGTAGTTTTAATCATTCCTTCCATCTTGGTATTTTGATTAATATGGGATTAAGGGGGCGAGTTAGCCATGTTGTTTGAACAGTTGGCGTTACTGTTTGGTGAGTGATAATGAGGCTCTCGGTGGACTGAGAGCCTCTGCCTTCCTACCATCTGCCCTTCATGATGTGCTGGTAGATTTTGCCATCTCGGAGGATTTCTTTCTGGAAGAGTTGGTAGGAGAAGAAAACCAGGAGGGTGGTCACCGCTTCAAAGAGGATGCTGTAGGTGATGTCTCTACAGGAAACAGATACAGGACGGATGATGAAAACACTCTGGACCAGCTCTCACACACATCAATCAATCAATCAGTTCTTCCTGACATGGGGTTCTCTGACAGACAGGATACAAAAAGTTACATAAGTCAAATTTAGATTTAAGATTAGGAACGCCACAAACAAAAAGTACAAAAATACAATTATGGAATATATTTAAATATGTATAAGAACCTTACTATGACAACGTTGACATTATCAACGTTGTCGGTTTGAAAAAACAAATGGTTTGGATCCGAGTTCCACATTAATAAGGCAAATTTGTGTTGTAGTTTTTCTGCCATCAACACATTACTGCGGTGTCAATTGTTTGCTTCCAATTCCCCCCTCTAGTGGAAGCCCACGGGATCGTACAACACAAAGTATGAGAGTCAAAAAAGTCGCGTTAAAGGTACTTTTTATTTACTGGCTATAATCCCGTTAACCTCGCCGACCTCATTGTTACAGATGCGTGCATTAACGTCATTAACCATGTAGAAAAGGATAAGACAGACTGTCAGACTGAATGAAAGTCATTTATAAAAATGTTCAGGTACTAAAAATCATAACCTTCCATTCCCTGTTTCTCTTCATGTCCTACTGTGAGATTTCGAGACTAACAAAAGGATTCATTTGACTTAGTTCTTTAATTGTTATTGTTAATGTTCATCCCTGTTTACGTCTTCCTGTTGCTCATCGTAGAGTCAGTTCTCAGAGTCCGAATGCCTCGTAATGACTCTCAGGTTTTTTTGGTTTGTAAACCAAGAAACAGAGAACAATCAGAGCACACAGAGAGAACCGCAGATACAGATTCACCAAACAGTTTTTCATTAACTTCACAATGGAAAACATCCCAGACCCGTTAACAACAAACAAACCAGACGGCAAAAGAGAAAATATCTAAGTAATAGACGAAATGAAAAGCAGCAGAAAAGTCAGTGAGGACCATTGTTCCCAGAGATCCACAGGACAACCATCAGGTCACTGTCATGACTGTGTAAATGTCTTGTTTCTTTGAAGACCAATCTCTACCATATGAGGTGTGTATTTGTCAAAACACTTACAGCAGGGGGACTTCAACGATCAGGTGGACGAGGTTGGACAACAGCTCCTCCAGAAGGTCTTCTTTACCTGTGTGCACATATAAGAGTCAGTCACAGCAACGCCTGGTCATAATGACAAGTGTAACTGTAGACTCTGAAAAATACTGCTTAATATTTACTTCAAATTCAAAGCTTTTAAGAATGTTCAAAGTCATTTCAGTATCTTAGTGGAATTAGCAAACTGAAAGCTTGATCTAGTCCAGGCAAATTCACCGGACTCTTTTTAAGGCCAAACTCTGACGTTGAGTCAGCGGATGCAAATTTGGACTTTTATGAAAAGAGTCTCTCAGAGAGGCCTGATCCAGGTCAGTAGCCAGGGGCACTGCTAAATTAAAATTTTTAATTTCTTCTCTCTCTTTAGGTAGGAACTTAAGTGTTACACATTTGACCCTGGTGGCTACAACTTAATGACTCGCACCTCACGAGCGCTCCAATGGGACGCAAGTACTTTTTTGACACTAATAAGGTTTCTAAGCAGATGCTGGGAATTCTGTGTAAAGTGACATGAAGCTCTTTCACCACATCTAAATAATAATGACAGTAAGTCTGTGTAAAAATGTTCAAATGTGTCTCTGTTTCTTTTCTCTAGCTCCATATAAAAAAAGCTCACCTCCACAGGAGCCTGGTGCCCTCTCCTGGTAGGTAAACTGCTGGTGCAGCTCCTCCTCACCCATCTGCCAGATGAACACCTTAAGCAGGCAGCGAATCATGAACAGTGCATTGTGGGCTTGCCAGATGAACAGCTGACTGTTGAGGAAAGAGAAAACAAAAAGGTTTGAGAGGAAACACAAAAAAAACAAAAAGAAAATCAGGAAGAATATCCACAGTGGAGAGAAACGACTACAGGTTCAGTTCATTCATGTACTCACTACAGAGAAACCTGACCTTGTACTGGGTACACATTCAGATATTTATTGTTTATTCGCTTCAGATTGACACTTAAAAACGGACTTGATTACGTCCTTGATTTACCTGGAATGGAAACTAGCCGTGGTAAAATGTGTTACATATTCTGCATTCATGCGGTGTCAAAAAAGTGACCATGAGTTTAAAATATGATTCTAATCCTCTACCAAAAACAGTTTTAAAAAATTTGAGAAAAATTAAATTTAAAATAGATGGTTCTATAGTGTAGCGGTTAGCACGCCTGCCTTAAAGGCAGAGAGCAGAGAGTCCTGGGTTCGATTCCCAGAGGAACCACATGCTTGATAATGTTAATCCTCCTTTGTAAGTCACTTTGGATAAAAGCATCTGCAAAATACATTGATACATAGTTGTAGGGGCAGCGTTGGCATGGCTCTGAGCACGACAGCGTCCCCACACACTGCTCCCCGGGCGCATAAAGCTCAATGGTGATGGATTAATAACAGAGGTCACATTTGGTTGTGTGCTGTGTTACAATAACTAAATAATTCACTTTCTAAATATAAAATTAAATGTAAAATTTCACTTGTATGACT